TTCCTTCTGCAGGCGGGGTGCGATGTGTTTCTCTCTTTTTTTTCCTTCGCGACTTCCTCAATGCAAGCCCACCACATTAGCAGTACTTTAGAAGCTGCACTACGACATAAAATCATTTGAGTTGTGGGCATGAGTGAGAAAGCAAAGATTAATAAAAGGAAGCAAACTCGACTCGAACAAATTATAGACTTGGCTTAGCCGTTAACGGCAATCATCTGCTTGCGAATAAATGTACGTAAAGCATTTATATGTATAGATATAAAAGAAGAAAAAAATCAAGAGAGAGAAGGAGATGTTGTTCTTATGAGCAAGCAAAGAATCGTTAGGGGAGCTGAGCATGTCCATTCACTCCATAACATCGAACATGTCTTTATAAGATCTTTAGTCTCTTACAGACTTTCTCTCTTCTGCCTATATTGTACTCCCTTGTGCTGATTTAGTCCTAGGGCCTTACAGCAATCGTCGACTTCTCGAGATTTGCGTTGGGCCCACTCAACCGAGTTGAGATTGTTTAGTGACTTCGAGTGATTTTTTAAAAATTCAATTGCCGACCCTACCACTCACCTTTCTCATTATGCTTCTCAACTGCTTATTCTCCTATCGTCATTCTCTTATGTCTCTTTCGTTTTTTCTCGTCTCGACTTTTTTTGCAGCCTCACACGATAATTGACTATAACATCTAACGGTCAAATAACTGATCTTCCAACCAATCAACACTTTACTCACTCGAATCTTTCAACAAAAATCTATTCAATTTGAACGAACAAATGATTATTATTGAAAAATGAAAAATTTTTCTTAATCATATCCTGCTTAAACCTACTTGTCAATCACGAGCACACTTTTGTAAAATTGTTTCGCAGTTAACTTCTTACACTCTTTTCAGCAGGCGTCCTGATATGTAGGAGACAATTCGGGGCGTGAAAAATTATTAATAACGCTGCTAGAATATATAAGGGATAAAAGGAATCGCGAACTAGAGAGAAAGAGAGAAAGAGTGATGAAGTTTTAGGGGACGCTAGGAAAGAAGGAGAGGGTATTGTGGGGGTGGCAAGTGTTTCTGTCAGTTTAATAGCTTCGTGCTTCCCCGACTATCGTTGCTTCTGCAACCCACCTCCCCCCAACATGCTGCGACATCGTCACTTTACGTGTCAGAAGTTATACTGCGTATAGAAAACCCAAAGCTTTTGATGGTCCAACAACCCTTTTATACTCTTCCGATATAAATATGAAAAACTTATATGTGTGAATATAAACTTATTTTGATTTCGACTATTTCTAAATCTCGTCCATTTTTGAAAAAGTTTAGTCATTTTATTTGCAATTCGATTGACGTTATCGATTTTAGTTGTTAATAAATCATTCGGATGGTCGAGAAGAATATTATCGGAGTTCGATGCGATAAATTCCAATCTCATGACTTGTCTTAAGAAATAAGCAATAAGAATATTATATATATATATATATATATATATAGGAGACTTAAAGGAAATAGGCAGCGCGAGTTGTGATATCGTGACGTTTTATATACTGGTGTAAATCAAACACCAAATATTACAAAAGAATAAAAGTGCAGAGGAGGCAAAAAGGCGAAAGACCATACGTGAAGGATTACATACACGCGTTGCTTGTATATAGTAATAAAGAATAATATAACTGCACACGACACATGTCTTAACTATATTATGTAAAATATACCCACATTTATATACATAAAATTCCTTTTTTTGCGTATTTGATACCACAAGATGAATATTTGTGTGCTTTTTTAAGCTCAATATTTTAAACTACTTTTACAGAAGTACAAATGAAAAATTCTTACCTATTTTATAACATCATCCTAAAATTAATCAATTTATATGGAAATTTTATAGAGTCAAAATTAATTTTATAAAAGTTTAACACTAAAAAATACTCACGTAATTGTATCAATTAGTTTAGTGAATTTTTTTCTAAAGTTGAAATTTTTTAGAAATTTCACATTTTATTACCAGTTTTTTTAATCTGTAAATATTAAAAAAAATTTTTTTTAATATTAAAAACAGTTTAAATGTTAATAGTCACCAAATCATATTTGATTTGCTTTTTCATTTATTTATTAAAAATCTATTTTTTTTATCGTTTAAATCTGTAAAAACATTGACTTGATACTCCTCTTCCTCTTCATCTTCTTTCTCTTACTGTGTTTTTTCTTCTACAAATTCTTCATCAATTCTCTCGCTTTCGCGTATTCTTCCGAAATGCATTTCTCTCTATCCAGTATCACGAGGGATGCTGTGATCCAGTAGTGGGGATCAAGCATGCGATAGGGGTGGCTCCGCCTGCGAGCCAACCAGCGTTCTGAAATAAACTGCTTTGCCACACCCCGCGAACTGTCCCTAGAGCTCCCTCGGGAGTCGATGCCATCCTCTTCTCAACTGATTTCGGATCTTCTAGTCTGCTAAGAGCCAGCTGACACGTCGTAGCTTACTCTGTTCGTTTAAATTTTGTTCTTCATCACAGACGAATCATCCTCCTTTTTCATGCTCTACATCTTTTCTCGCAGTTTATTATTGTTTTTACTCATCTCTTCATCATCTATCTCATCAGTTACACAACATGAATAAATTATAACAAAAAATAAGGACAAATTAATCAATTATGGATAAATTGTGACACTTTTTAGTTCATATAAAGACATTGTGATTTTTTGTTTTGTGATTTAAGTGTTAGTGACATGTAATTCTAATCATTCAGTATTATATTTATATTTAAGTAATAACCAAAATAAATCCACTTTAATATATAACTATGGATTTGTCGAAACCAAAACATGACTATAACTCATTTGGTAAGTTTAATTAATTTTGCACCAATGTCATTTACGTGATTTCAATTTTGAATTAATTATTATCAAAATCAAAGCCAAATGTATTCACATGTTATTTGGTTTCTAATTGATAAAAATTAAATTAACACAATAGAGTGTAGATAATATAAGGCTTAGTGATAATAGGTTATCTTCCAGGATACTGATGAAAATTAATGAGTTTATTATCCATTGCAAATTATTGACAACAATTTATATATACATTTTTTTGCTTTAGTGAAAATTAATAATAATTATTGAAACAGTAGTGTACTTCTTTAAATATGTGTTTTCAATTTACATGAAATAAAACAGTAAATAAATATAAATGCAAGGAGGATAAAAACAATCCGTAGATGATTTAAAAATTGGAATAGTTAAGGGGATATATTGCGTATCACCAGGATGTCCTTTGCGGTTGAAATGCGGTTGTTTGCGCGTGTGAACAGCCGTTATAGAGCAATCTCCGTCGCTCTTTTGATACTGCTAATTTGTTGATTTATCTATTGAGTTTCCCGGGGATCTAATAAGAGGAAAAAATGATTAGATTTTGAAGAAGGAAAGTTGTATCAGAAGACACTAACCCCTAAATTATAATTCTTCATGTAATACAATGACAACAACGGGCTATTATTATTCACACCAATATCTTTTGTATTAACGATATCTTGATTAATCTAGCAAACTTCATAATCATTCCCACGCAGTTTTATTATTTTACAAGTAATTCTTTTATAAATTCCACTTCACGGTATCATAATAACTTATATATCATTCTCTTGATGATCATCTTTTAAAATAAGAAGAACCAACTGTAGACATGAATATACAGGAGTTGAAGTACATATTTAAAGTACACTTTACAATATTACACAAGCTGTCAAGTGGCCAGACAAAGTATCATATCTGACAAACATGTCCAACGACACCCTCTTGTGAATCAGAATCTTTTCTTTCATGTTAATCCTCTTTTATACTGTTTACATTATCGATTAAAACTTTCATAACAAAAAAGACTCTTTTCTATTGTTTAGAAATTCAGACAATAAGGATGTACTGAGAAATACTACTTCTTACGCTTAATCGATTATTTTTATTGAAATCCAATATCGCTACATTAATCATTCTATTCTTTAATTTTTACAAAGTTTGTTATCTCAAAAAAGTAATTCACTAAGCCTTTGAAATTATTTATACATTTGTTAAATAATTAATTAATAGTTTATATTAAATTGACTAAAAAAGAATAAATGCTCAGTGATAACGGACAATTTTATTTTCTGTATATATTTATGTATTTGAAATGTCATTAAATCTAGAATTACTTCCTAGAATATTGGATATTATATTTACAAATTTATTTTTATCACTTCATATAGAGTTATTTTTTTGAATCAATTTAATTTATGACATGATATACGATGATATTTTTTGAGACAGTGTGAAAAAAAACATATCTGTATATATGTATTACAATAGGTGTGCATCTCTCTTGTACTTGATATATTTGTCATCAAAACGCGCCGGTCTCAAATAAAACGCCGGTCTTATCGCTCGAAACAGTTTCTATACTCTAGCACATAAATACACGGATCCTCAGCTTAAATAGATATATATTATTATACCGTGGGAGCTATAAAGACACACACGACAGTCCTGATTCTTTTTCCTTACGTGGCATGTGCAAAAGCAAAACCACAAACAGTGTGCCATTGTTGTGATAAAGCCTCTGCAATTATTTCTTATTATCTTTACTATTAAGAGAAATTGTAGTCTACATTTCAGTATTTAATATTTCGATCATTTGAATAAACTAAGATTCTTAAAAGTTATGATATTGTATGATTTTGTCATTTATTTCACAATTGCTATTTAGTTATTGTTTGTAATCTTTCATCAAAAATATTCTTTCATTGAATTTAAAATAAGAAAGTGATAGATGTTTTAATCTGAACCTAAAAATAATATTTTGACTTGAATGAATCATTTTATTCAAAAAATCCAATCATGAATTTTTTCGCTAGCTAAGCTTTTTTTTATTGCAATCAATTTTCTTGTAAAGTACTTCTACAAGTATATAAAAATTGATTCATGTTTGATGAGAAATATTTATATAATGAATTTTGACTTAATTGTGTTTCATTCATTCTAGGTAGCAGCGACGAAGGTGAAGTACCATCAGGTGGTGGTGTCATTAGTAGCGGTGGAGGTGAAGTTGTTGACAGCTCAGAAATGGAAGAATGTAATGAACATTCCTATTACAAACAAAAAAATATGCACCCACATCCTCTATACTATCCACACCCTCAATGCACTTATAATAAAAGTGATAATTTTTTGATAGTTACAGAAAACTCATCGATAAAACCTAAAATCGATGATAATAAATCCTGGGATTTGTGTATTCGACAATCGAGGCCAGATCAACCATACGAATCAAATTATCGTACGTTTCACTAATTAAAAATTAACTAAAAAATGTCTATGAACCTAATTCGTAACTAAATTTACAGAAGAAACGATAAAAGACGAGCCAAAAGATGGAGATTGGTTATCACCAGTACCAGAGATTGAAGTAGAATACTCATCCTACGGAAATCCCTTAGTTAGAGCAAAAATAAAAATTCCAAAAGGTGCTAGATTTGGACCATTCTTAGGGAAATGGGTCAGTGAACCACACAATCTGCGTTACGCATGGGAGGTGAGTGTTTTCGATACTTCAATTCAGTCCAAGTATTATATAAGGATATGATTTTGCGATGTTATATGAGAAAAAGATGTCAAAGGGGACGATTACGTTAAAGATTCACACGCAAATCTTATCGGATATCAAAGTAACGGGAATTGGAGCCGTTTGAAAGATGATCGATCTGTTTATAACTATAGGGAAGATTAAAGAAATGTTAGTCGTTCGTTTAGGACGCGCTCAACCACCAAGTGAGTTGCTTTTAATCCTCCAAGTATTATCCGGCAGATGCCGATGACATAGAGTCGTCTCTTCTCGTTCTCGACAGGCCCACCTGGCTCAACAACAGTGTTCGGAGTGTCATCCATGCTGACAGATCTGTCAATTGGCTCTTGGACACCTACCCGTCAATAGTACAACCCAAATTTCTCAACAAATATGTCTCTTACATTTCGATTGACTGAAAACATAATTTTCCATTTCAGCGATTCATTATAAAGTTAAAATGGATCCATTATTTAATTATATCATGCGATTATGTATAGTAACGTGTGAAAGGGTTTTTCCAGAGATATGTATGTTCTATATGGTACGTTTGAGTAAAAGGTGATAGATATGATAGTGCGGGAGGTAAGCGCATGTCGCACTGACAAAATGTAAATGGCACTATCCATCTAAAACACGACAAAAAGGCTGTTGGACCAACTGTCGACTGGCGATTACAGGATCGATTAAAGCACACTACCCCTTCGTTTCGTTGACCGATCTATCACGTCTATACGCGACATACGTTCACGTTCATTTGGACCATCAGAATGAACTTGAAAGATAAAGAAAGAAAGGCGATGAGTTGGGAACTCTGAACGATTTTTTTTTTCACACCATTGTTCAATTCTATAGCGTATTTATTATTCTCATTTTTAAATACTTCCTCGTCAAGGAATTGATTTTGTTAAGTACCAACTATTAATCAGTCCCAATAACTTTTTATATGTTATTACATTATTTATGCTAGACTTGTATCAATGAATGTAGGGTAGAGTAAAGCTAAGAAGACTTAAGAGTCTATCACCACATTATCTGTGGTGCGAAATAACCTTATTTCATCCTAATTGTGATTAGTTATAATTCACGATTGAATATTGAAATTCAATAAGTCTGATCTAACAACATCATTTAAGTCAAACGTTTTGACTTGAATGGTATTAAAATACTCGATATCAATCATCCTTTTATTTAAAAAAAAACTGTAGCACCAAAATCAATTTCTCAGGTTTTCTACATTACAAAATAAACCCTCAAAAAATGAAAACAGAAACGGGCAAAGTTAAAAAAAATTTTTAGCAACACTCAGTTGTATATTGTGATATTCATTCACCTTGTTTATTCATTGACAAATCAAAATAGGGGTAAGAAATTCAAAGAATGAGAATTTGAAAACGAAAGGATTTGCCCTCAAGTTTTTGGCATTGGTATATTACCTCACCTGCCACAAGGATTGGCTCTTATTTTTTCGATGATCTGAGGGTACAAAAAAATAGGAAGGCTCGGGAGAACAGGGGGAACAACACGAGGGTCACAAGAGAATGAGAAAGACAAGAGCATGAATATCTCGTATTGGTTATTTGTTGTCTCTGTTTTACTTACGAATATAATATGTAGACTCTCGTAAGTTTATAGTGTGCGGTGACGCGTAATCTTACGATACGGCGTGCCATGATGGTGACTAAACCAATTTTTAGCTTAGTTCAATCACGCGTAACGTCTCACTCTTTTACCCCTCTGATACTATTGCGTGAATGATTTAACGATCTCGATTAAATAAATTATCTTGTTATCTCTTTGCGAATAATCTTCTTTAGTATTATTTTTTTCTGGCGAAAAATTTTGAAAAAATTTTTATAGAATATGTAAATAAAATATTCTGATATTCTTGATGCAAGATCAAATTATAAGAAGAAATTTGAATATTTTTGCCAATATATTTCTATTTTTTATGTTTAAATGATAGTTTTCGCACGTACCATAACCACTAGGCTCTATTTTCTTCCAATCTGTACCCACTACACGTATTTTCTATATGAATGGCTCACACGCATCATAGTGACCTAGCTACCACGATACTTTTTTGTCAAATCGTGTGGAAAACCACACAAAGACCATTATATTACAAACGTATGTCGCTGACAAATTATATTGATGATATTTCTTTCCTGTCCTATTATATCCCTATAGTTTTAATAATATTTTAATAAAACCTACGATTACGCATAATTAAAAATTCATTTATTAATGATTATGAAAAAACATACCAGGACTTTATAATATACGTTATAATAAACAAGTTATTTATTCAGCTAAACTTCATTCTCACCTTTGTGATCAAAAGAATAGAAAAACCTCAAGAGTTTTAGAATTTTCAGCAAATTGTTGAAAACTTACAATTGCACCCCGTGGTGTATTGTAAAGGCGATTACTCTTAAAGAACTCAAACGAGTGGTCAAGCCTCGGAAATGATTTAACAATACCAATATTACGCGAGAATTGAAAATTCAAATGATTTATCTCAGTAGGCTGAGCTCAGGTATTTCTTATTCTCATTCAGTGTAAATTGTTATAAAGATATTTAAATCGATATTTATTCGCAAGAGAGAAAGAAATCGGTTCTCAAGGAATAGGGTTACAATGTGTATATATTCTATTGGCCATTAAAGTTTATGTATTTAAATTTAACAAACGTTTTTGATGTGATAAAAATACCGAAGAGAATGTAATTCAAGCAAATGAGAAGTTATAAAAGTCCACGAGAATAAGCTGAGGGAGAATTGGCAGGAAACAAGTGACAATCAGACCCTTGGAATTTTTCATTGTCACTTCGTCAGACGTTGACGAACCTCCGTAACGGATGTCAAAAGATCACCGATGGTCATCTCACTAAAAAGACCGGTCAATTTACTTTCACTCGAATATCCTTTAAAAAAGTTCTTCTGCTCTAGGTTTCACTTTTTTGAGTAAAATTTGACCCAAAAACAAAAAAAAATCTTATGAATGAAAACTGAATTAAGTCTTGAAAAATCAAAATCGAGCGTAACTTCTTCAAAGAAACTTTGTAATTTATATTTCGCATAAGTCAATTATCACTTCATAATTATAATAGAATTTATTTAAATATTCTGAATTAAAAAGTACAAATAAACAACATAATTACAAAAGTATATTTATCTCAGATTTATCTAGAAATAAATACAATAAGAAGCGAATCCATGTAATTATTTGTCTTGTTGTAATAAGAATATAAATGTATAAATAAGCAAACTCAGAGAACCTGCATGTATGACTTAATTAGAATATAATACATAATAAACTGATACAGGTCTCGCTTACAATGCAAATAATGACAAAACGAAATGCAACATGTAACTTGTCAACTAAGTTGTAAACTAACTAACTAGTTCTATTCTTAGGATCAAGTTTTTTTCATCTTATATTTCATCTGAATTGACAGTTGTTGCCTGCACCTTCATTGCATTATGTAAATAGAATTATGATATACTTTCATAATGCTGGTAATATACATATATGTGTCTATTATATCATTCTGAAATTTACATTATTTTTAGGGCCAAATCATGATAGGTGTTTTGCCACGTGATAATCAAGTTCGAAGTTATTCCAATCGAGAATAAATAAAATAGATTAAAGTATAAAATTGATCTAAATTAGAGCATTACTACATAATTATTTATAAATATTAAATCAATATTTTCGTCTAGATCAGTAATCTATTCAATAAAAATTAAATAATTGCAACTGAAGTTATTGATAAATTGAGTTCATTAAAAAATTTGTCATCGTAAAGTTATATGTTTGGAAGATGAGTGGAAACACAAGTGAAAAATGATACAATAAAGGATGATTAAAATGGAATAATAACCAATTTAATGGTGTTGTCATGTTAAGATTCATCATAATCTAGTAGCATCTGCTGCTCCAGTGAAATAACAATGAGACATAAATCTCATGAGAAAGGTATCTAAATGGTTGACTGCAACACGTGTTACCCATGAGCTCATGAGTCCTTGGGGTCATCATCATCATTATTAACATGCTTCAGTGAGTGTCGACGTTCTGCCACCCTCGACGTCTTTCTTATCACCCTTCTCTGTCTTGCACGTGCTTATTTTCCTGTGCTACCCTCCCCCTTTCCTCCTTCTCTTATGCTTTATCCTGGTGTGTACGTCATCTGGGCTCTTTCTCCAAAGTTGGACCAAGACCCAAGCAGCAATTGCAGTGACGAAGGGCGATTCGTGTGTAGGAAGCCGTTCTACGACGTCTCCCAACACCCCCGACCGTAGATTTAATTGAACTTGTTCGCAACTCATAACGAGAAGTCGAGTAAGTGCAAAGCTTGGTTATAATTTACGGGAAACAATCACTGCTGCCTTTGATGTTTCGTACTCGATTGTCTCATTTCAGTCACACCGATCAGACTATCCTCTATATTTGTACACACATACATGCACACATTCACCTACACTACTTCATGAATATACATAAGGTGAAAAGTAAATAGCAATCATTATCAGCATGACAAATAAGTGACAGATAATACACGGAAAGCATATCAATTATTTAATTAACAAAACTTCTCAGAGTATTTTAATTAATTATGTTCAATTATTCAAACTTGTTTTTCAATTAATTTGATCAATTTATTTACTTATTTTAATTTCATTTTTCAATTCTTTTCATAATGTCATTTTTTAATTAACTAGAGGAAGAAGAAAATAAGTAATTTTATCTTGAAAAATATTAAATAATTAATGAAAACAAAATTGATAAATACTTTATATCATTATGAATGCAAGCAAAATGTAAATTAACATTCTGGGGTATTACGTTGCGATAGCTCCTGTTGGGTTAACATAACTAGGCACACACGTCAAAGTGCACAATAACCGAACTAGTCTGGTCCATGAGGCGAGTTACAGCCTAAAGTCAATATATACTGTACATACCTACGAATACAGACTATAGGTTAGTACTATGCCTCGACGACATTGCATAATTGATGTTTGTACCGTTGTGGAAGAAGAGAGAGAGAAAGAATGAGAGAATGAACAAAAAGGATAGATGAAGCAAGTCTACGTAGTTTACACCAAATTAATTCCCTTTGTAGAATAGTCTAACAATTATAACATTTTAACTTTAAATAATGTAGTAAATATATACTTATTAGATTTGTGTCTATGTAAAATCATAAATTACTGTTTTTTTTTAAACTGCGCATAATTGGGGAACTTTCATGTCAAATCCAAGTCGTCTAGTGCGCAAGGTAGGGTGAAAAAAATGAAGAAAATATTGGCAAATTTTCTGGTAAATAGGTATCTAATGATGGATCATGAAGGGCTGTTTTTGACGCGATTCTGATATAATTTATACTGTTAGATACTATTATAGGGTAGCTTCCCTTGAGAGTTATTGAGAAATAGTTGTAGCGAGGGAGGCATCTGCTGCGTGTTAGATACGGATCGAAGAGCACAATTTCATCATGTTATTCTCTCAAAAAGTCAAGTGGGTCAAAGCATTTTTGTTCCCATATTTTTATTATTTGTTTGAGATATACTAGAGCCATAAAATGATATACATATGTACATAATCTCAGTTGATGAAATATTTTATCAACGTAATTCAATTACTGAGACGTGTTGGTTGTCATCGTAAAGATTGCAGATCCAATTAGAACACCTCAAGCTTAATTTGCAGCTTGTCATTCAAATATCTTATAAATTTTGATCGTTTATATTCTGTGACTACTCTCATAGTCTATAATCTTTATGTCACGCCATCGTACTTGTTTAATTTTTTACACTCGTCAATCGCTTCAAGAGCTTGAAGTGATATTTTCTGCTCTATACTATCGGTTGAAGAATAATTAGCAGTAAAATATATTCTGCTTTCAATAGTCCTTTAGAAGATTTAGTGTCCATCTAATACATGAAAAATTTATTCACGGTTTTTAATATTGATAAGCCATATTATTGATTTAATAAGAAATTTTTTATTTTTTTGATATACTTCACAAGTTGTAGAAAATGGTTTTGATTAGTCAAATTATATGAACATTATTTCCGCACGAGTTACACTACTTTAAAGTAAAAGGACTTCAATTTTCCCATCTGATACTAATAACAATTATTTTTTATTTGGAAAGAAACAGTATAATTTCAGTTTTTAGATCATGTCATTTTAATTTCCATTGACGCTTTTTAAATAAATTTTCTTACAAAATTTTATGTATTTTTTTGAAAGAAACTCATTTTTTAACATTATACCAATATCAAGATATAAATGATGAAAAAATAGATATGGACAATATACTTTTATATACACTTTATTTCAATCCTGACTGAGTGTGATGTCAAATGCTACGGATGAAAGTACATGCTGTGAGCACTAAAAGCATTTCTGCGTCAAGCATCAAACTTGAACTATCATTCGTTCATCGATCCAAAATATTCATATAAATAATTCTCATTTTATTCTATCATTTTTTTCTTCCCTCACGGTCACTACCTTTTGGAAAAAAATCTTAATGACAAGTGATTTATAATTATAATTACAGCGTCAAATAAAAAAAAAATCTTGAATAAATTTTATTTCATTCAAAGAATTATCGACTTGAGCTGCGGTGACAATGAGATCAATATCTGTCAGTAATGTCTCTATTCTTATAAACACGTTCCATGAGGAAGATGTACAATTTCGTATGAAAGCAGGATAGATTTTAAGATGACAATCAATGTGGTAGTATAATCCATCGTACGGTTCTATTCAAAGTGATGCGATGTGGAACGTTACCGATTAGGAGGGATCTCATTCAAGCTTTCCATGCACTGTCCATTTTGAACGCCATCAACGTAGTATTTCAGCAAAACCATCAGCGAAAAATCTTTTCCGGATGCCTTCATCTGGTGGATAGGTTTTGTTGAAGGTGTGAGGTTACAAAAGCAATGATTTTGTATATTGTTAAGACAGACTTATACCCCATACTGTGAAAAGGATCTTCCTCGTGTCCTTGCTTATGATGAGGATCTTGGACTTGTAGGTGCACATGTACAGTTATGAATGGCTTATTATACTAAATTCTTCAGTTTTTCATTACATCTTTAGTAAACCAAACTTGCATTTATAAATGTGATGATACAACAACAACATAACTGGACCCTGTTGTGATATTTTGTTTACTAATTATTTTGGTTTACAGCATGATGCTTATAATCCATAATAATCAAAGTTATCAATTATCATTTTAATCATATCATTTTTAAATTCGTTTATGTATGTACTTAAAATCTAGTGGTATAATTAGAACAATAACTCAACTCTGGGATAATTAAAAAATAGTTATTAATTAATTTCAATAAGCATTGATAAACTTGCATCTTACCAGTCCATATTACTTTATCTAACTTGTTAAATAATGGCTGTAAAAAGCAACAAAAAAAAACTTATAAAATGTAAAGACTTTTAGTGATTTCAACGACTGTTTCGAGGGTTTTTGGAGATGCTGATTACAAATATAAACTTCGTTCACAAAATTCATTTGAAAGAACTTATTCATGACCGCTAAAAAAATAAATTCATTTTAATAGGATTTTTCTCAAATCATCAAAAAATCATTTGAATATTATTTCCAAAAATACTACACCATTTTTTCTCATGAGCATGTGTTATCGTTCATATTCTTTCTTCTTTTGTTAACAATAAAACCTTTATAATTCCTTTAACTATCGATTTAATCATGAAAATGTATATTTCCTAATAAAAATCTATTATAAATTTTTTCTTAAACCATCGTAGAACTTCCAATTGTGTAGAACCGATTGGAAAATTCTTAGCTAGATAAATCTATCCTCCGAATTGTCTGTACATGTCTAGGAGTAGATACCGACAAAGCATGAAAGTTCCTGCTGTGAGAAGATTTTCAGATCTTCCTCTGCAGTCTGTAGAGTTGTAAAATTCTAAAAACTGTATAAGCAGAGTGAAGAAAGAAAAACTGATGGAGAGCATATCCCTTGCGTGCTAGTAGATGTCAAGTTAACGCATCATTGTGGACGATGTGACAGACTGAGAATTTTAATAATCTGTCCTGTATTACCTGGTGCAATACAGAGCAAGCTTGGCCATTGTTACTTGAGTCGTTCGTGCCCATTCGAAAGGAATACATCTTAAAGTTCTTTTTAATATATACCATAAAAATTGAATACATTTTCTAAATGTTCTTCTTCCTCGTTATATAATTTTTTTTTTAATATAATCAATCATTAAATAACATAAGGATAGTCACCGATATTTGAAGTGAAATGTTGCATATAAATTTTCAAAAGTGAATGATTTAATCGTGGATAAACTTTTACAATGTAGAGTATGGATATAAAAAATAAAGTGTTGAAGCGTAAACAAGCAAAAGCTCATCCCATGTTTTCTGAAGATTTAAACGCGAGGTAAAGAGACGTATTCGGTTCAATGCAAATAAGGATTATCCTAATAATAAAAAATATCGGAAGCTTGTTCGGCTTATTGAACATTAGAGAGTGTATTAATTCAAGCAGAAACTCGATGAGTAACAAAACTCTCTATAATACTATCATATATATCCCTAACTTATCCACTTGGGTTGAAGAATATTGATTTTTGAAAATGCAGTTTCTTATCATAACCGACAGGTGGTATAAGCATGAACAGAATAATTTTAAACTTACGACTATTTATCACTTTTATTTTTTAAAGGAGTTATTTTCAATTCAATATCATGAATAATTATCATCATTTCAAACATTATCATAATTACATATTAAAATTGAGTTTTATTCATCCATATTTTTAAGAAACACTACCCCCTTGTTCATGATACATCACATTTTTCCCAACTAAAAAACCTAGTGATTTGTTTATTTTAATGGAAAAAGCAATGATTTGTGATAACAGAGTATGTTTTTCTACATGCGTGATATTTTCTCGGTTTTTATTCCATCAATCATTAATTTATTTAAATGTAAATAGTCAATAGAGCTTTATTGCCAGCAATAAGGTGATTCTCACGCCTCAATTGACAATTGGTCCAAATGACGACAAGTGCAAAAGAAAAGTAAGAGAAGGGGACGAGCAGTGGTTAACGATAAAACTTGACGATCGTAGTTGTCCTCAGGGGTTGGATGCTAAACTTGGGGTGACTCTAAATTGAGGGGAAATCGCGACGCTTGGTTGGCCAAGCGTCGCGAGACCGTGTGCGGTCGCAAGACAATTGAAAAAATCACTTGTCTCGAGCTAAAAGCACTGGATAGAACTAAAGAGAAATGTAAAATGATGATAGGGATGGAGGAGGGTTTTTGCTGCAAGCGTTAGTCCGTTAAACGCAATGTTCCGGATCTAAACATTACCTCATTCGCGTTCCAAGTGTTCCTGAAAGCTTTTTAACTGTTTTATTTTCTTTTTTTTTCTACTTTCGACAGGTTCGTGCCTCCGGAAATGGAGTCCGAGGATGGCTGGATGCTTCTGATGAAGCCAGTAATTGGCTTAAATATATTCGCAGCACTAGCAAACTCCACACTATTAATATGCGCCATGTCTTAATTAGAGAACAGGTAATCATAAATCAACTATTTTTTTTCCATCAGCATAGAATGCTTCATAATTGAACTTAATGCAGTAAATAAAATTTCAACTATATTTTATAGCAAATTAAAAATATCGTTCTGGAGAATTGTACTTATAATGAAGTTAATTATTATCATAATAACTGAACATATCGTTTTTACATTTAACAAAAAATTGACAATTATTCTACAAATACAACTAGTTACATTAAAATGAGAAATAATAATTGCTAATTGATATTTTTTCAATACACCATATGTTACTTCTATTTAAATAAACTCCTGTTGTCAATCTTACAAACAAACACAAAGTAATCGTAATAACCATTGCAGTCACGTAGCCAATAATTATCATACTATGTTTGAAAAATAATCATTAAAGCACTGTAGATGTCGTAAGGAAATAAAATTGCATGATATTGATCCTTGGTGTTTAACGACATCCAGAGCCCAAGTACATATTTTTTATGTTTAGAGACAGCTTGAATAAATTGTCTTTGTTATCTAAAGTCGTCAATGATACTTGAATGTTATTTTTTCACAAATCATTATATTTAATTAAAAACTTTGCTTTAAAAATATTTATTCAAAAATTTTAACAAATTGTCAAAAATTTAAAAATATATTGCTTTCTATTGATACAAAAATAATTTTATAAAAATTAATGAAAAATTTTGAAGAATAGTATTAATAATTAATGCATTTTTCAGATATGTTACGAAGCTTTGAGAGACATTGCAGCTAAAGAAGAGCTTTTAATCGCAAAAGTGCCCATCCAACTTCAAGATATATCAGACGAACACTTAACGGAAGATAGAATTGATCGCGAGGCTGGTGAGAGTGGTAAGGATATCAAATCCTTGAAAATGTTTTGTCACGTGACCAGAGTGACTGTATAGAATATCAGAATAATTCACTATGTCCTATCTTATACATATCAATACATGCTACTCGTGTGCATACGATTATTATATACGATGAATATAGGCAGGTGGTATAGTAACACAATGATGAGGGCAAATGGAGGGTAAATCGTGACTCGTAAAAGCCATCACGACACTCGTCATGCTTCTCTGACTGCGTCGTGATTCACCTGGACTACCGTTGAGTATTACACCACAGTTAGTGCACTGTGTTCGCGTTGATTATCTGCGCACGAGCCCCCGCGTGTGCCAGGACGATCATACTCACTAGATTAGTTAACAACGTACCTTAAATTTGACCCCTACTTTGCATGGGATGTTTAATCGACCCTTTTGATAGTGTTACGATTTTTTACATCCACAACATCGTTGTATTTTACTATTTAAAAAAGTTTCGCTCTGACAAACAAAATAAAATCATTTTAAATATTATAGGAGGACTTTTAAATTATAATTCAACTGATTCTTCAAATTTATTTCATGTACAAAAGATTCTTTGGATTTTATCGAAGAAGTAGAAGTCAAGCACTATTATACTTATTTATTTTTTTATCTCAGGTCATGATAATCAAAGCTTTTAATCTACTGTTTTTAGATTCTTGGACAGAACAATATTTTTATTTTGCTTCATGAACTTGATTTATTTGAGTTGAATATATGATTAATTTTATTTTGTTTTGAAGAAAAAATGATTTTTATTTGAATACAAAATATTAAAGTTATTAGAATACTAGGACTCACTTTTTTACATTATATAAAACTCAATTATTTAGATTTTCATTTAAAATTTCTTTATTTTTTGATAATATTATTACATAATTTCAAATATATTTCTTTTATTTATTTTTGAAAAAATATATTAATAATTGTGATTAGTAGTAAGATAATTTATAAGCTGTGAGGACGAAATAGTTATGTCATATTATCAGTATTGTAACTTTCCTCCAAGGTATAAGTATATAACAAGTGAAAGAGGGTGAAATGTGACAGCCAGATGTTGAAGTAATTAAAACTGGGCTTATTATCAAAATTTTACGTTCTACGACTTTAGATTACGTCACAAATTTCGTGAGTAGTTTCTATAATGTTATTAAGTACAATCAAGTAGAAGACTAAGAAATAGAAAAAAGAAGTGAAATACTTATTGATATAAAAATTTGCAAAGTCAACATAATTATAATAATGAGAAAAACGGATAAAAATTATCTGATTGATATAAACAATATTAACGTAAGTGAAAGTCACGAGCACAAGTTACCCCGGAAATGGCATCGGCTGGTTCCGGTTAAATGTTTACGCGTAATTACGGTAGCTCTACTATCTCCCCATGTATGATAAATGAAGAGGGTTGTAAAGAGGGCGTAGGTTAACGGATCAGTCAAAAGCTTTATGAACTCAAGTTGATGACTTTAATAGAAATCAAAACACAAATTAACGATTTTTTATTTTTCTTATCAATGATTTTATTTATGATGATACATCAAAAATTAAAAAAACAACTTTTTTATTTCAATTAAAAAAAAAAAAATTTTTTTTTTAAAACTATTGTAACTACACTAAGAATATCAATTAAGTTAGTTAAACTTATGAAGACAATGGTGATAACTTAAAAATTAATTAAAAGTCTTGAAGGACTCATTTACAACGCCCCTATCGTCATAAAAAATAAGTAGGGGTATGACTAAGGAGTAAATTTAATTTCTTCAAAGATATAAGAAAGTAACTTTCAGAGAAAAGTCAAAAAGATTGATGATTACAATAATTATTCTCTATATATATTCTCTTAAAGAAACTGCTTTATAAGTAAACAAATTTTTTTTTTTTTTTTTTTTTTTTTTTCAAATTAAAATTAAAATTTTATATTACTTTCAACAAGACTTTCACAAAAAAAATAATTTATGAATTTAAATATGTTATTATTAGTAGCAGATTGTGTGAGGAAAGAATTCTCCAAATGATTTCTAATTGCGTAATGAGGACGAGAATAATGATGTCAAACAAACAGCACACACCCCATTTTCTCTACCCCTTTCTTTTGGAGCATCTGCGCCCATAATCTTCTCCCTAACATCATTTTTTTTCTTCATCGTCTGTCGTACAAGGAGAATGAAATTCGCTTTTACACGCCTACGTGGGGTGCACATACACTTATGCATTGAGACGTATTCAAATGGCACAGCATTTAATATAATATTCTAACGAGATAACTTCCTCACATTTTGCCACGTGTCAACGAGCGAAAACTGGATTATTAGTTGTATGTATGTTCACACTTTTATTTCTAACATAAATCAAAATAAGATGTTGATCTTATAAACATTCGATAACTTCCATTGTTCCATAGAAATATTGATTATTTATCAAAGCAAACGCACGATTATCTTCCATTAAATACAAATTGATCATATAAATAAATTTTTTTATTGTAACTCGTGGATTGTTTTTTTTTAATATTAATAATATCAACTTCAAAATTTCGAAAAAAGGGAATGTATTTGTAGGTTTCACTTCTTGTTGAACCCACCGTATTTCATACGAATAAATGAAAATATTAAACATCAGTGAGCTTTAAAAAATATATCCATTTGAAGGATTACAATAATTTATATAATTTTTATTGACGATTAACACGCGCGTAATCAGGGTTCTACAAGTTAGAAAAAAGTACAGGGTGAAAAAAGGGTACATTACAAAAGGCCACGCGACATGTAGTCCGAGGGAGGATGATTTTCGTTCACCCTATCGTATTCTTGTATAATAATCTACTCCATCCCATCATGCATCAATATGACCATATCTGAAGCTTATTTTGCTGTCTCATAATACATCTACTTTTCTGAAAACAAACGCACAAATTTATCAATCAATTTTGTTCCATTTGACTTCACCAATTTTTTATTGTTTAAATAAAATATACTTTACTGGTTATTATTTATAATATTTTTATATAAAACAGTAAGTCTACACGTGTTGATATCAAAAGGAATAACAATTAAGTAAAAGGATGTACGACTAAAGTAGGAAGGTTGTTAGAACATTGATTTCCGTTACTTTTTCCCATGCAACGGCCAACTGACTTGGCAGGGGGTGAAGTCGAGTCTTGGATGCCCACCTGTTGACTTTCCGCAACGTGACTCCAGACAAGTCTCTATTATTAAAGTTCGAATTAACATAATATTTTCAACTGTTAACTAGTGATTGGAATGAAAAAATAGGAACCATATTGATATTTTTATAAGTTATCTTTTCAAAATCAATAAACATCAAAAGCTCATGTCATACATTTCACTTTCTAAGAGAATTAAATTTCACTTATTTTCATTCGTAAAGAAATATTAACTATTGGGCTTTAAATTAAATAAAATTTTTGTTATGGAGATGATGGGAGTCTAATAAATTTATTGGTATTATAAAAAAATTACCTTGAAATTTAGAATAAACAAGGTTGAGGTAGAGTAATCAAGGGCTGTACCCTAAATTGTATTGTTTGAATAATATGTTTTTTTTCATCATTCAGTAAACAAAAAGATTTCTATGATTGTCATTAATCGGTTGATGATGAATCAAATATTCTTTCAATATTTCTGTGATTAAAATAAACTTTACGAATCAAAATAGGAAATATCAATGAAAGGTTGAATATATTGGTCTAATGTTGGACAAAGATACTACCAACCTTGAGGAACTTAAAAAATAATCTACCTATTTATTATTTCAATAAAATACTTACAATTGTGAATCAATATGTATATTTATCATTTTTTATTTTTGGACAATTTAGTTTTAAAATTATGTTATTTAAACTTGTATTAAAAAAGTTATGTTAAAACATGGGTGCAAATGACTGTGAAGTATAACATTTTTCTCACAGTTTTGGAATATTTCAAGGCTACATAGAACTTCAGGGTTCATAAAAATGTCTTTCATGCAGAAGCATGGCATATCATATAATTTGTATATCTGAAAGCACGAAAAAATACCACACAGGGGGTATTAAAAAGTCAGGAAAGCAGAGTGATAGAAACGGAAGAGTGAAAAAGGCCGGAAGGGATAGGTGATGGTTAATAGTGTACGGTACCGTGCCCGGTTCCCATGAAGATCTGTTGGGGGTAAAGTTAACTCTCATAACATATGGTAGGACAAGTGTACAGTAGGAGATTTAAATAACCGTTGAAGTTATCAATATGTTTCATATGACGACATACTCTTATTTTTACAACTCTCTCTTTACAGACAATGTCTATAAATAATAAAAAGAAACGATTACCACTTGGAAATAGAATCGAATAAGATCTGTAAACATAGAAGATGATTGAGTATAGCGCAACTAAATCTATTGCACACCGCATTGAGTATATAATAATAATTCACCTAGAATAATAAATCGTGTTATGCCGCTTTAACGTTTCTCGGTCCCTTTTGATTCTGCTGTCATGACATTCGGGGGTGCAAGTCGCTGCGGGGGCGACTAACTACAATGTAGTCTCTTGTGATTGGCTAACGCATTGAACTGCTTTTACCAATGGCAAACAGTCCTGGTTACCCCCTATAGTGGCATTTATGTTATAGGACAACTCGGTATCCGCGAATTAGAGCATCATTTCATCTATTGTGTTTGTAGTCAGTAGTGTGCTGGATGTTTGAGGATCAGCATACCAGAAATTATTTCATCACATACACATCAATTGGTATCGCATAATAGCATCATTTCTCTCGGTTTATTACATCAAGTAATTATTTTTATTGAATTACTGATAATTTATAATTAACTTTGTTTTCGTTTTTCCCATAGTTATTTTTTTATTGTTATTGTATATACTTTTTTTGTGATTAGACGCTTTGATAATAAATATATCATCCTCATCGTTTTGTTATTTTGTAATACGTACTTTTTTTAATTTAATTATTCATATAAAATGTCTCATATTCTATTGTCACGCTAGAGATAGTAACACAATTTTTAAAAAAATTACCATTCTATTATTTTTATTCAATATTAAAAGCATAAGAAAATATTTAATAAATGTTTTTTTGTTACAGCATCACAACATAGTGAAACTGTTGATGACGATCGAGACGACGAAGAAGACTGTGAAATTAGGTGTACTGTTTGTGATAAACCATTCCTAGATCTTGATCTGTAAGTTCAATACTTTTTATATTCTTTTTTTTTATTCTATTTTATGTCATTAGTATTTTATAATCGAACCAAACGTGAGGTAAAAATTTAATATTAAAATATTAATAATCAAATAAAATTGCATTATTCGTAATTCACCGAGTAGCTTCCATAATCAGATTATTTATCATGTGTGTTTTATAATTCATATTTTAGTTTAAAGAATTTCTTGTGTTAGCAATGACATATAAATGTATTGCAATCATGAATAATTTGATCAATTTTAATAAAATATTTATAAAGTGCAAAAAAATACACATATGTCACACGTAAAAACATTGAAATCAAGTTGACAGTTTGTTTTAATCAATTACTATTATCAATTCACTATGTAATTTTCAATAAATTTTGTTGAATTTCATCTTTTGCAATAATTAAATTCAATTGTATAAAACAACTAATTATAAACCGAATTAATTCAATAATTATATGTTAATAATAATAAACATTTATCTACAACATATAAATGTATACATAAATTCATGCTAAACCATAATAGATACATCCCTAAATAATACTTGTATCTTGATCAATGCTATATTTTTGATGGATAGTGAAGTGTCTAAAAAATTTCAGAGTCGCACCTGTTGTCAGACTCGAGATATCTGTGTGCACATAAATGTGAATATATTCATAAGTGGTATCCTAATACATGTATATGCGCGTGAAATTCTCAACGAGATCTGCATGCGGGCCATTATCATCTATATATATATCATCAGTGTTCGCGTGCTAGTAGCTCATCTGGCGCGAAATATCGTCACCGTAGAGGCACTATCTCACCACGAATAGGCTTCACACGATACGTCTAAGGGCCACAAAATCAATGCTCTCACACCATAATATCCTTTTGCCGAAGAATACCTTCATGTATGAGGGGTGACGATCAAACGTGACGGCTAGCCCGTTTAGAGAAGCGAAAAGGGGCTTTTATCGGTGCGGAAGCTACTCGCCAGTCACGTATAGTCATCATCTTAACTTCCGATTGACTGTCGCGCCGTCTTGTCGGCAAAAAATTGCTAATACTCAAATCATTTAATCTTTATCTTATTAATTAATTGTTACATTTGAAAATATCATCATTTTCATTTGCTCATAAATAATCTAGTTGTTTGAGGGACAACTGTCTTTTACTTCATTAACATAAACGTATTTTATTTATCTGAGTTTTTTTCAATTGTATACTTGTTGATTAATTATTTTATCTAAGTATGTATTTAACATTTACAGATTAGATAAACACTTAGTAACGGGTCATCGTTATCCAGCTGACCAGCATATTTGTGAATCTTGTCCAAGGGCTTATTCTTGGCGACCTCTTCTAGTTCGTCATCGTGCAATTGTTCACGGAGATCTCCGTAAATATCCTTGTGAAAATTGTCCAAAGGTATTACTTACTTAAATATTATTAATTTAATGATCTATAATGATAGTTGATAAAGGCATTTCCAAAGCTAATAGTCGAACACGCCACAGGTTTTTACAGATCCGTCGAATCTTCAACGACACATCAGGTCCAATCACGTAGGAGCAAGAAGTCACGCTTGTACAGAGTGTGGTAAAACATTTGCTACAAGTTCAGGATTGAAACAACATACTCATATACACAGCAGCGTAAAACCATTCCAGTGCGAAGTTTGTTTTAAAGCTTACACGCAGTTTTCCAATTTATGTCGTCACAAACGTATGCATTCAACGTGTCGTATGCAACAGAATTGTCTTAAATGTGGTCAATCATTCAGCACAGGAACTTCTTTATCAAAACATAAACGTTTTTGCGATTCAACTACACCTACTGGAACTCCACGACCACCTGGAGCGATGCCACAACTACCAGTCTCAGCACCAAATCCTTTTCTCGTTTACCCTCGACCACCAGTTTCTCTTCCTGGTGGACTTTCTTTTTATCCACCCAATTTAATGACTCCGTATCCTGGAATATTTCCAAATACTCCTAGTTTCTTGAATACACCATTACTGTTTCCACCTAAAATAAAAGATGAATTAAAACGTAGTGACAGTCCGAAAAAAGAAAAATATACTCCACCTCCAGTTCTACCACAGTCTAATAAAATATCTCCATCAATGGCTGAAGAAGCTACATCAACATTTAGACCATCTCCAGCTCGACCGAGTGTTCAACGCACTCCTGACAGCGATGACGATATGAAAAAACCAGATATAAAATCAATTAAAATAAAAGCAGAGACGTCAGAACCTACATCATCGACAGAGCAGACCACTACGGATCAACCACTTGATTTAAGAATTTTAAAGAAACGTAAGATACGTGAACAACGTGATGAAACAAGTCTTAGCCCAGTTCCTTCTATTTCTGTTCCTCCCTTACCTCCTCCACCACCACCACCATTACCATCATTACGTCAAGAATCAACATCTTTGGAACTTCAAAAAGGTATAGAAGAAGACAAGATGCAAGTAGACCTTAAGAATATTGTGAGCCCTCAGTCTTCGTGTCTCAATGTTTCACAAGAACAACGACCAACAAATACTTCACCTCACATGGCTTATCCAAGACCAATTCATCCAATGTTTTTAGAAGCAATATATCGAACGCCTAGTACAACATTTGCAGCATTTCCTGGAGGACCACCTCCACCTAGTGGTCCAACAGAATCTCACTTACTTTCATCACTTCATCCATTTGGTCCACCGCGGCTCCCTTTTTTAGGCAATATCATGAATGGATTGAGCGGTGCTGGACCAGGAGAAGGTTATAAATTATTAGCTCGGTCACCATTAGGTGCCTTTACCAACATGAAACCTTTCCAAAATTCAGTTTTAACGCATCATCACCCTCATCATCATACACCTGGTAAAATAAAGGATCGTTATTCATGCAAATTTTGCGGTAAAGTCTTTCCTAGATCAGCTAATTTAACTCGTCACTTACGGACCCACACTGGTGAACAACCATACAAGTGTAAGCATTGCGAAAGATCTTTTAGTATTTCTAGTAATCTTCAACGACACGTTAGAAATATTCATGATAAACAAAGACCATTTAAATGTCCACTTTGTGAACGTTGCTTTGGACAGCAGACTAATTTAGACCGACATCTAAAGAAACATGAAGCAGATGATGGTAGTGTAGTTGTTTCTGTTGCTGATTCACCGAGTAGTAGTAACGATAATGAACGAGAAGATACGTATTTTGATGAAATAAGATTATTTATGGGTAAAGTCACATACGGTGGAGATGCTGGCTACGGCTCACAACTTTCTACGTATTTACCTGAAAGTAGATTACATGAAAATAAAAACGAAAGAGATTTCGATGATGACGATGATGATGATGAATACAGTGAAGAGGGTGCTTCACCACTTGAAGAAAATGATGCATTATCGCCACTAGTGGGGAAAGAGTCACCACCAACACAGCAATATGAACTTAAGTGTAGAAATAAACAAGAGCTTTTAAATAATAACACTACTGAACCAGTAATAGAAATTTCAACATAGTCCTAAAGTCAATTATTTATTAATTATTATTAAATTATATTCTTTAGTAATACTTCTAATTTTTGAATGGTTTCAATTGAAACTATATTATAATTATTTAAAAATAATCATGGCATCATATTCGCATCTGTTCAAAATTCCAATAGCACTTAATGTTTTAATGCAATTGTATTTAAGAAAGTGCTCTGTCGGTGGCTAGTATAATAAAATATTAATCCGTACTTAAAACGGTTCGTGATATTTAATTGTTCGTATGAAATTTTTTTGTTTGTAGACAATTTTCAAAAAATATGAATAAATAAAATTTAAATGCATTAAATACAAACAAAATTTTTATTCTTTGATTATTATTAGAGAAGAAGATTCATTGCACATTACTTTATCATGCATTTCATACAATTATTATCATTATTACTATCACTATCGTCACATTATTATGATTATTATTATTATTATTATTATTATTACTATTATGATTGTTTTATTTTAATTGTTAAATAAATATCATATAAATTATTTATCATCAACCATTAAATACTAGTATGAAAGAAATTTAAGATAATTAAATTAAAATTTGAGAAAAAAGACGATTGCCAAGAGTTTACGCATCGTTGTGATAGCAGATACGATAAAATCGTTATTATTTGCAAGTATATATAATTAAAAATGTAAACATGAATATTAAAAATAGATGATTAAATAATAAATAAATAAAATGCTTAAATGGCGAAAGTACTTTTGAGTTGAGTGAAAAAATAAATGATAAACAAAAAAGGTGTAATTAAAAAATTGTAATTGAGTTCCTGTACAAATTGACATTAGAAAATAACATTTGTAAAATATATATAGATTTATAATTTTTATTAATTTATGAAAATATTAGCGGTTTATTGTGGTAGCATTGCTAAAAAAATAATTATGAAAAATAATTATTAATCAGAATACAGTAATTATTAGTAAAACGACCTATTCTAGATGAATAAAATTTAAATAAGATTTGTTTTTTTTCGATGATTGAATGTCAAAGAATTGTTTACATGTACATGTGTAATAAATTTTATAGTAATAAGAAGAGTTATAAAATCTTCTGTTTCTTTAAAAAATTTAATTAACACTCTAAACATATCTCTTCTGTCTTAATAGTTGGTGATAATATATCATATTAAGAGTTATTTAAATATAAAATCAAAAGGTAATATACTTAAATAAAAAATTATATTACAATCTTGTCTATCTAAACATTCTGTATAAAATCATCTGTAATTCATCATTGCTATTATCAATAATATTATTATTAAAATATTAAACTATAATTCGTTATAACTATCTCATTATTCTTAATGTATATAAACTTCATGTTGAATTTTTTTCATTTCATTTCATTAGCAAGTTCTCTAATTCATTCATTCGGTTTATCATCATAATAATATACGTATAAAATTGATTTGTTTTTATAATCGAAAATAATTTGTAAATTCGTCAACATTGATATTGTATTATTTTTTGCTGAAGCAATTTTTCGAAGCTTATGATTGTATACATTAAAGCTAATATATAATTATTATTACTGTAATAGAAAAATTGTATTCTATTGCAACATATCTTGATGCATTAATTATACAATTTGTCGAACTTTCCTAAGTATTCCAAATAAAAATTGATATAATTTTCAATTAATTTCGTTGGTTAAAATATAAAGATATTTTAACAATTGTTCTGTTAAATCACGTTAAGAACATATTTTCAATTTTTATATTATATTATATATGTATATATTTCATCATTAAGAATGATTGAATTGAATCTATCAATAAATTACCATAAGTTCAGAAATATTAGAATTATAATAGATATTCATGGTGAAATCAATAGTATCATTTTTTTACTATAACAATTTTATTAATATTATTAACGAATTAATAAAAATTTTATGAAAACAATACATAATAAATTTAAAAAATTTAGCCATAATTGATTCTAGACTGTAAGAGATAAATATAAATATTGTATTGATATATTTGAATGAATTATAAAAAGATGATAATCAGAATAATAATGTTAATACTAATTGAACTGACAATTAAAATTGTACAATGATTTACCATTGATTTGCACTTATTTTCAATAAGACTATTCAGTAAATTCATTCGTATCCGTTAATTGAACTCAATATACAATTTTATTGTATTTAATTTTACGTGATATAGACTCCCAGTTGAAGAGCACTTTGTAGCAGCACTTTAATTCCTGGCATAAATGAAGCTATTTGACTAAAATCTGGTCCGGATACTAGCTGTGTATGCACTGCTAATCCGTTGGTGTAATTACCAGCTTGAATCATTTGAGAGATCTGATCAAGTCCTTGTAGGGTATTTTGAGAAAGCTACAACAATTAAACATTCAAGTTAATTATCGTAAAAGTTCATTTAAAAATTCAATAAAAATTCATTGCAATTATAAAATTACTCACAGAGTTTTCTCTAAGACAATCATAAAGAAACTCTAGTTTTCTTGCGACATCTTCTATCTTTCGTTTCATTTGCTGAAAAAAATTTAATTCATGAATAAAAAAAAAATATCCATAAAATGACACACAAAGTGTGAGATATCAAAAGGATTTTTTGATATACGATTCAATAAGGTATAATATTTTACCGGATTCTTCGATGATTCGTAGCACTGTATTTTTAATTCATCGAAAATCGTTTGAAGATGTTTGTATTGGTCGGGTATCGGTACTTTTGGCTTCTCCGGTTGTACTTCTTTCGCAACTTCGATAGATGCTGCAGGTTGCATTGATTTTATTTGGCTTAATGGTTTATTGTATTGATTTTCACTATTCATTATGTTATTAGCATACTGCGGATGATTATAGTTCATCATGTCTTGATGATAATTTTCTTCCGGTGGTGTCTTTAAACAAGTTAATAAATTGATAATAAATTATCTATCAATTTTTAATTTTATTTCTACTTACATTATAATTTTGTGAAACTCCTCTCAATGGATGTAATATTGGAGTTGGTTGTTGATAGTCAACTGATGGCTGCAAAAATTCAATAATAATTGATTTACTTTAGTTTCATTTTATGAAAAAATTAAAAACCATATAATATGGCCACAAAAATATTTCCTACGAATAAAGGATTTTTCTTATGATCTAAATTCGAGGGAAATAGTCGAAACATTCCATCTAGATACTATAACTAAGTAGTTAAAAAGCGTTTTCAAAAAAAATTATTAACACATGAATTTTCATTATGTATCACGCACAATGCCGCAATAAAACTACCTGAAGATTTTTATTCTTCAAATGCCTAGCCTTCCACTTTCTTGTACCAGCATGTTCCGCAGATATTTCATTATTGTTGTATAATGCCAGAACTGGCTGAATAAATTGGGAATATAAAGAAATATAATTGTCAAATAAGAAATGCTAATTTCATTTTTACATAACTTTTAAAATAATTCATTCAAAAACAACTAATGTTTAATTATTTTTTATGTAATTGATATATTCTAATAAAGTTTCAAAATTTGTCTTACTTGTGCACGAAGAGATTTTGCGATGGGAGGATCATTCCATCCAGAAGATTGTGAAGTTGGTTGATAAATTGGTACTTCATTACTGAAGCCTTGGCTTTGCTGAATACCAGATTGCATCGCTGCAGGATCATAAACGTTTGTTGGGGGAGGATTAGCTGGAAACGATGGAGTCATTATATTCGGTTGTAGTGGTTTATATTCATCGTGTTCCAGAGGACCTGGAATTGGATTTTGTACAGATGGATTTTGATAACTTCCAAAAGTCGGAGGCTGTGGTTGATAAGTATTTTGGCTAGAAAATCCTTGTGATTGTGGATTATAAATCTGCTGTTGAGAATAGCTATAAGTAGGTCCAGATTTGACAGAAGGATCGATCATATACTTTGGTCGAGTTTGTGGTCCAACACTAGGAGGTCTTGATCCTCCAAGACTTGATCCTGTGGTTTGTATTGGCGGTGGCGGTGCTTGCGAATTACGCATCGGTTGTTGTGGATAAGTATTCATAGATTGAAGAATTTGTGGTGTAGGCTGCATTACTTGAGTTGGAGTAGCTGATGAATTTGTTGCTTGTCCTCCCATCACATAAGAATTTTGAAGAGGATTAGTATTCCAAGCATGAACGGGTGTTGTTTGAGGATAAACATTTGGTTGTGGTTTTGGCGTTGGATCATAATAATTTTGTGGCGTTTGCTTAATCGAAGGCTTTTGAATATTAGCCTGAACACTAGGCTGTTCATAAGATAAAGCTTTATGCAAACGATCTCTTAACGATGTTATACGTGCATCTTGGCCATTGCCAATGTAATTTAGTGCAGCTTCTAACTCACCTTCTGATGCTAACGACTCAGCATACTGTGACAAAATTTCAGAAATATTTCCATCAATTGTTACCTGAATATTTTGACGCTCAAGTGCTTTTTTCATTATCATTACTAATTCGACAGTTTCTTGAAGCTCAGTCTCAGAAACACGAATCATTTTATTTAAATTTCCTGAACAAATATAACAAATTTGAGCACTTTTTTGTAAAGATGGATCTTCTGAAGCTGCTAGACGATCTCCAAGAGCATCGCATAATACAGAGCATTCTGAACCATTCAAATGAGTAAATATTCCAACTATTATTTCTTTCCAACAATTAATATCACAACTATTTACTAATTCACTCCAATTTTCGCTAACAAGAGAATTGATGAGAGAATTCAATGCACCAGTTCGCTCAGAAAAATACCTGTATTGGGTTTTGGCAAGTAAATCTGGTCCTCCCGTCATTGAAAGAATCACAGCATCAGCATAACGTTTACTAGCAAAACATAACGATACTGCTGCTTCAATATTTCCCACTAATATTGCTTGGGTGATTAAACCATCTTCATCATCAGATGTGTTGAGTTTCAAATTAATATTTACAGCTTTTGGAGATACTTTCTTTTTTTGTTCTTGCTGGGCAATTGCATCAAAAGCCGCACTTCCGTCAAATGCAGTCCCATTTTGTAAACTATCTAATTTAGAAACACCTTCTGTAATTGTATGTACATCATCTAATGGAATATATTGTTTTAGTTTATCATTCAAAATAGGTATATTATATCCAAGTAAGTCTAAAAATGTTTGAGTTACATTATCGTTGAAATAGGCCCCAACAAAATTCCAAATTTTTTTCTGATAATCATTAGCAGCGTTATCAACTTTACTTTTACAATAATCTAAAAACTGTTCACTCTTTAACGCGTTCTCTAACGTATGTGAACACTGAACCATGTCAGGATTGATAATAACTTGAGAAACAATTACTCTTTTCTTCGGAGCACCTTCTGATTCACCAGATTCTTTTTCAAATGAAATTAATTTTCCACCAAATCCAAATGAAACACCACACGGTCTTTTTAACCACTTAGGAGCTTTTTTTAAAGCAACAGCTGATTCTCTTTCAACTTTTGGTGGTGGTTGAGAGAATGGATCCATTCCTGGAAACGAATCGACCAATTTATTCATTGAATTAGCAGGCGCTTCTTGCTGTCCACCTAGTAATGAATAAACTGTTGCATGTCCATCAAAACTGCTACCAACAATTAATCCCGGGCTTTTTGGACACCAAGAAACATCAAAGTTCCATTGATTAGTTTGAGCTAATTCACAAAGTAATTGTTGATCAGGAGTATCTGCATTTGGATTCCAACAAACAATTGTATTATCTTTGGCACAACTCAGCATCAAATCTGAATCATGTGGACTCCAAGCAAGTGATAGAACACCTCGCTGGTGATGTTGAAAACTTTTTAAAGGTGAAGTTGCGAATCTTAGGTCCCATAACTGGATAATTGGAGCTTGATCGTCTTCAGATGCTAAACATAATTGTGTAGCAATTTCTGGATGCCACTGTAATACTTTCCATCTTATTTTAGAATTCGCATCAGTTAATTTGATTATTGGCTCATTTTTTCTTAAATCCCATATGACACATCTTTGCGAAAATGTTGAAGCAAGAATATGTTGAACTTGCTTATTCCACTGAATATATTGTACATCTTCAGCTGGTTGACTTTTGCTTCCAGGAGTCATTGGCGTACCAGTATTAACGATATCCCAAATGAATATTTCGCTCTCTGTGGAGCCAGAAGCTAATAAGTTCGATTGGAATGGATTAAAGTCTAAAGTTCTAACTGGCCCAGTGTGTCTATCAGGACTACTCAACAAGCAATCAGACTCATTTGCAATCATTTTAGATGCTGAATATATCTTTATTGTCCCATAATCGCATCCACCTACTAGTATTCCTGCAGGATTATTTCCGTATGATCCCCAAATAAGTTTGTGAAACCTAAAAAAGTATAAGTTGAAGTAAATTGATATAGCAGAACTAACAACGTTGATAGTGCTGTAAAGTTCAATTTTTTTTTTTAATGATTCTTACCTATGATCACTTTGTACACTTGTTTTCAGTTCCATATCATATCCAGGCTGTTTTACATTTAATGAATACAATTCTATTGAAGCAGATGTATTAAAACTAGCATCAAGTTGTTGTGCAGCTGTTCCTGCTGCTAATAAAATTGGATGGAGATCTGGTGGTGACCAGGACACATTGACAGTTTTTAGCAATTCTTTGATCTTCATTTTGAGCCTATGGAAAAATTGATTAATTTGAATTAACAACAACAAAATTGATGACAATAATATCATTTATACTATGAAAGCCATTGACTGATATTTTTCATAATTTATTAATAAGATAATAATAAATAGAGAAACACAGAAAGATATCATTATACAACTCAGGTGTGCCTGTAGAAATATTTTACTATGCAAAACTTACGTATTTTACTAGACGTCAAATAATTACACAATAAAATGTACTAAACAAAAATAATGTCACAAGTATTTCGGCAACCCAACTCAACTCTTCCAACGTGGCGAACGATACAACAGTGGTTCAAAGCTATATGTGACATCTATTGACCGTTAAAGACTAAAGCATCCAGAAGTTGTAAAATTATGGCCAGATGGTAGCACTTGTCAATAACTCTATTTAAATAATGATTTATAAAAATTAAAATTTTTATTTTATAAGGAAAATAAAAAACATTATGATTATTAATATAAACTTTATTTAAATAACTGTATCATAACTGTATCAAAATTTTCAATTACATTGGATATTAATTATTATTATAAATATATTCAATTAATTGTAAATATAATTGTATATTTAATTATATATAATTTTTTACATCAAATGTACTTCAATTTTTTTGACAATAATTGTGTTTTTTGTAGATATAATTTTACCTAAATGTACAAAAATTCATTATAAAGCTACATTAAGTACGATTGATTTCAAAAATAGAAATAACATCAACTTGTTTCTATAAATAATCACATTAAAAAATTGCAATTTTATTGTTACAATATATTTATTTTCTAATAGAATCTATTCTTCTTTTTTTCATTAAAATCTTTGAAGTTGCCTTCATTGCTATTGCTTCGTCCCTATTCAATGTTGAAGAGATTGATGATGTAGAACTTAAATTATCAGAAGAACTAGAAATTTTTCTCCGATAAGCTAAACGACGTTGTTTTTTTGTTGGTGGAGAAGTTGAATATACTCTACTATTATAATCAATTTGTCTATTCTTTTTTCTGCATATTCCTTCATTATTAAGACTTTTACCATTATTATCATGAGAACTCTCAAAATCAGTATTAGATAAGCTCATCGATTTACTTATTCCAGATTTTTTCGTTATGAGTTGTGAACGTCTCTTCTTACACTTCTCTTCCAATGTTGCTAGACGTTGATTTTCTCGTGACTCCAAACTTGGATGTCTTTTGAAGAAATCAATTATATTGAAAGGTACACATTTAGTAGCATTGTAAGTTTTATAAATTCCTATTAAGGTATCTGAAAGCTCAAACATTTCTGATCGCAAGCTTATCACAATAAATTGAGCATTTTTAGTTCGTTCTTTAATGTAAGTTCCAACAATAGCAACATTTTTATAGTCTAAAGCGGCATCTATTTCATCCATAAAATATAATGGAGTTGGTTTATAATAATGAAGAGCAAATACTAAAGCTAAAGAACTCAATGTTTTTTCTCCACCACTTAAATTACTTATATTTTTCCATGATTTTTTTGGTGGACGTACACTGAATACTATTCCTTCAGTAAATGGATCCATCGAATCAACGAGTTCAAGCTCAGCAGCACCTCCTAATGTTATCATCTGATACATTTCTTTGAGCTTAGAAGTTATTTCCATAAATCCAGCGTAGAATTCATCATATCTTCTTTTTTTTATCATATCATAGCTTTTACGTAACTTGTTTCTTTTCGTGGTAGCTTCTAGAACTTCTTCAGATTTTTGCATGTAAATTGCATCTTTTGCAAAAAATTCATCAATAACTTGCATATTAGGAATAGATTCTGGTAATTTTTTTTTAGCTAATGTAAGATTTTCAACTAAAACTTCTTCATCTAAAGTAGTAATTTCATTTTCATCTAAGTCTTTCAAAATTATTTCACATTGTCCAGGAATTTTATTTAATTTTATTCTATTTATATTCGTTCTATAGCTTTCAAGCGTTGACTGTAAATTTTTTAATACTTGGATAATATCTTGATGCCTATGTTCTATATCAATTCGTAGAGCTTTTATTTTATCTTCTTTTTCTTGTAAAACTTTCAATTCATCTACCAATAACTTTGTTATTTTATCCCTTTCTTTCAATAATTCTGTACATTCATCTAAAATAGTCAATAAATGTTTAGCATCTATTTCACACTGTTTTTTTTGCTCTTGAATATCATGTAACTTGTTTTCACATTCCTGAATTTCATTTTGTAAAGTTTCTATTTTTTTTTCTGTTTTTATTACGTCTCGTTTAGATATTTTTATGGCGACTTGAAGTTTACAAATTTCACTTTTGGCTTTATCGATAGAATTTTTTAACTCTGTTATTTTTTTTCGCTGAAATTTCAAAGAGCCTCCCAATATTTTATCAATTTCTTTATTCATTTTAACAACTTCTTCTTCAATACTTTGAGATTCATTTTTTACTTTATCATATTTTGTCTTTGCTGCTTCAATTGCATTAGTATATTCTTTTATTTTTACTGGATTAAGAACCGAATTAGCTGTTTTCTTTTCTTGAACTTTTATTTGCGACTTCGATAAAGCCAACTGATCACTAAGAGTTTTAATTTCGATATTGAATTTATCTTTTTCAACATTCATATCTCTTAACTCTATATTTAATTTTTCAACTTCTGATTCTGACGATCTTTGCTTAAACTTTAAATCTTGATATTCTTTATTTAAAGTTTCTAAGGTTTCTTCCATGTTAGCAATATTTTCTAATGATGAATTATTATCTGCAACAGATTGTCCCATTCTTCCTCTGAAAGATGTAGAACCTCCACCACTCATTGTCCCAGACATTTCAATTAATTCACCTTTCAGCGTAACCACTCGGTATCGCCTACTTCCATAAGCTATTCTTGTAGCTTGATCTAAATCATTAGCAACTAAAGTATCTCGTAGACCGTAATAAAATGCTGGAAGTACTCGTTCATCCTCAACTCGTATAAGATCAAATAACCGAGGAACATTTTCAGGAGTTGATATTTTTTGTTTACAATAAGGCAACAGACGATTCATTTTATCTAAAGCTATAAAAGTTGCTCTTCCTACATTATTAATGCGAAGAAATTCTATACATGATTGAGCTGTATTCGCTGTATCTACAACAATGTTATCTAAAGGTCCACAAGCAGTAGAGACTGCAATATCATATTTAAGATCAATAGCTCCTAAATCTCCAAGTCGACCAAAAATTCCAGAAATGTTTTTTTCTTTTTTTTCACGCATTAAAGTATTTAGTACTCTATTGCTGGATGTATTTCTGGTCAAAGTATATTTTTTTTCTTCGATCTGTATTTTAATTTTTTTTATTTTAACTGATACTTTCATGACTTTCGTTTTTATTTCTTCTAGCTTATCTTGAGCTAGTATTAAATTTTTTTTGGATACTGGGATTTTCGTTTCAAGAGAAGTAATTTGTGATTTGCGATTTTTTAAATTTCCATCTGTTACATTAATTATTCTGTGAAGTTCCTCTAATTTTTTCTTCTCTTCATTCTGAGTCGATGTATAGAACTGATATTCAGATTGCACCAATTCTAACGTTGCCTTAGCTTGATCGACACCTTTATGATGGATTATCAGTTGATTTTCAAATTCTGCTCGTTTTTTCAGTAACGGTTTAGTTTTTTCTTTTAAATTACTCATGAGATGTTCAAGAATATTTTCTTCTTTGTGGAGATTGATTGTTTTTTTTTCTATCAATATTTCACATTCTTTAATCATATTTACATTTTTTTCTGGCACCATATTTAATTGTTGTAACTTGAATGATTCATTATTAACGACTTCTATATTTTCCTTTCGACGTTTATTTATTTCTTTAAGTTCAGCAAAAAGTACTTCATCTTTATTGCGTATTTTATCGAATTGAGCACGAATTGAATCTGATTTCATTTGCACAACCTTCCAAGCTTCAGATTTTTTATTTAAATCGTCATTTTTCATTTTTTTTTCCTTAGATATTGATTCTATTTTTTCTTTTAATTTTTTTAAATCATCAGCTATTTCTTTTTCACTCCTTTCTTTATCTTTTAATTTTATGATTAGCGTTGCTTTTTTATAACAATATAACTTATGCTTTGAAATGGCAATATCATTTTCAATTTTTAGATAATCTACAGCCTTCTCCATAGATTCTTTTAACTGTTCTCTTTCATGTTCTATTACATGAAGTCGATTAATTTTATCATTCAAATTTTCAGACAATAGTTCTACCCTTTGTGATAGTTGTTCCAATGGTATTTTATATCTAGAAGTGCCAATGATGTCGTCAAGGAATTCCAGCATACCACTATCATGTTCATTTTGAGCTTTAGGTTTCATCAAAGCAATTTGTTCAATTTCTCCTTGAAGAATTAAAAATCTATTATAGTCAAGATCAATTTCATTATGCTTAAATAAATTTATTATGTCTTTATATTGCACTTTTTTTCCATTTAATTGATAGAATGATGTATTATTTTTAAATGCAGTTCTTGATATAACAAATTCACTGCCTAAAACAGTTTCAATATTATTTTTGCACTCATTTTTATTATCAATAATTTTATGAAAACAAACAGCCACTGTGCAGCTGTTTACATTAGGATATTCACTAGAATGATGAATGAGCTCTGAGATATGCTTGGTTCTAATTTTATTTGCTCTAAAACCAAAAACAAAGAGCATAGAATCAATGACATTGCTTTTTCCACTACCATTAGGGCCAACTATTGATGAAAAACGTTCATTAAATGGTCCAATGATTACTTCACCTGCATAACTTTTAAAATTGTTACAAACAATTTGTTTTATAACTAAACGTTGGTTATTAAATTGCTTATTATTATAATTATATTTAATAGGAGGCGGTGGAATGTGAATGTCTCCATCAATTATACAACCTTTTTCATGATCAGTTGTAGATGGATAATCACAGATAATTCTAGAAGTGTTAACTTCTACATTATTGTCAGAAGTATTTTGTGTAATGTCTCCATTGTTATCGGGCATCCTAAAAGAAATGACACAAAATACATTCATCATAATAATTAAACATGCGTTGATATAAGGTTAGGTAAAATATTTTGGTATGATTTTATTGTAAATCATTAAAAAAAACGCATTTACTTGAATCAGATGGCAACCAGCAAATGAATTGGAATATTATGTATTGATATATACACATAAACATATATTTTTTTTTATAAAAAAAATGTAATAATTCACTTGTACATTATTACGATAGAGTAAATATTTAATCTTTTATGTATTTTTTAAACAAATAAAATACATTGCTGATTCTTGATTATTATAGAAAATATAAATAGTGACACCATTAGGATTTTTGTATAACTTCTTAACATTTGGTGAAACGTACGTACAGTCGGTAATTTTTTGATCTCTTACCATTATAAATTTAGCAGTAATAGTCCAGTCAAATGAGGGAAATGGGATAATTTTTCGAAATAAATCGCCAAAAAGTAATATTTCTAACATTAAGTATTTTTTATTAATTTTCTTAGACGCGACTGAAGCTTTTGTCAATAGTGAAGCTTCAGTCGCGAATAACTTTTTATCTATCATAGATATGAAAAAAAGTGTTCAGTACTTTTTTTATTAAAATTCAATTCTGAACAACTTTTATTTAAAACATTTTTTCATATCTATCATAGAAATCGAGAAATTCGCGAGGGGGGGCGGTTTTCGCGATTTACCCCCCCCCCATGCGTGCCAAACAATTTTAACCTACACCATTGTGTTTCTCGCGAAATTTCCGATCCAGTCATCTATAAATCATTAATTTGGCCGCAGCAAACCAAAATTATCCCATTTCCCTCATTTGACTGGACTATAAGTTATCTAAAGAGATTGATCAAGAAGATCAAGAACAGGTAACATATCAATTCTTTTCCCATTTTCTAAGATCATATTCGACAGTGATGACAATAAATTATTACAAATGTAAATTTGTAGCACCAAAGTTAATTTGATGATAAGTTTTTATGACAATTTTTTTTTTTTCTAGATTTTTAAAATATTTTTGGGCTTCAATTGGGCGTGTTTTAGACCTGCAAAATAGTTTTAGGCCTGATTTGGACGCGTTATGGGCCTGGACAATATTTTTGGGCTCGAATTGGGCGTGTTGTGGGCCTAGAAAATGTTTTTATGCTTCAATTGGGCTCCTTCAAAATTTAGACCTGTAATGGGCTTGTTTTGGGCACTGAAAATTTCTCTAAGTCAAGATTGGGCTTCAATCGGGCCTGTATTCGGCTTATTTTTCATTTTGGGCGTGTTTTGGGCTTCTTTTGAGCCTATTTATTTTTGCTCGGGATTGAACCATTAAAACACAAAAAGAATTTGCTCAAAATTCATACGTGTAGCGTATTATTTATATCACAACAGACCTATAGCATAGAGTTTTGATTCACAGAATCGTAAACAGAATGAAGGATTACATACCAAAAAAATTTCGTTCGAATTTTGTGTGCAATTACTAAAATTTTAATTTCTTAGAATTTAAAAGGAAAATTAATCCTAAAGAAAAATAATTTGTGCTTTCGAGAATTATTTAAAGTTTTTATTCATTGTATTTATTATTTTAATAGTGTTACATCTTTGAAAAAAAACATTTGTTTGTGTTGGTGTTATTTTTTGTTTTTTTTTTGTGGAGTGTCCGTTAAAATTAAAGTTCAAGTTAAATTACCCTTAGATTAACTTTTTATTGGATGGCGAGGACCTCGGATATCTTCTTTACCATCGGCAATGGTAAGTTTATGTTTGAAATTTATTTTATCGATATTAATATCGACTGCAAAATATATTTTGCAAAGTTTAAGAATCATTCGTCTTTAGTGTGATTTTTCTCCTGCATTCATCTTTTTCCGATATTTGAAATTAGTTAGTTAAAAATATTTAAACCTTAGAATTATTTTTTAATTTTTATAAAATTATTTGCATTTTATTATTTACATACCTTTTCAGCTTTATAATAATTCTAAATGAATAAAAAACATTCATGTTTATATAGTATTTGTAATAATAAATCAGTATTTGTACAATAACTATATAAAAATTATATAAAAAAATGACAGAATTATTTGAATATATATTATCAAATTCAAATAACGTTGACATTTATTAACTTATCTATTGAATTTTAATAAGACTATTATCTTGATGATATATTTTTATGAACTGTAAACATTTTACCTGTCGTTTTATAAATTTTAATTTAATTATGAAAATAGTGAGTACATAATGATGATAAAAGAATTATCTCATAATATAATTTATTATTTAAATTCTAAACTATCATTAGAAATATTACGTAAATGCCTAATAGCTCTCGTATACCTATAATGAAACAATGATTTATTTGAATGGTTTTATCAATACTTTTATTGCATAACTATTAAGTTATCAGTTGAGTTGACATATTTTTAGTCTATAACCAGGTACAGAATATCCTGATAATATATAACAAAAATAGTTACAGCAATAATATATTCATAATACGTTTACTTCTCGCGCCAGAGGTAAAATAAAGCATTAGCATATATATTAAATTTACATTTAATATAAGAATATTATAAAACAATGTTTATAGACTTGGTTCAGTATAGGCAGTTGGTATGATATTTTTACTATTAGAAAAATATTTTACTTAGTTATTTATTGGGAAAAAATAATATGTAGTACATACGTATGGATATATAGCCAACCTAGTACCGCCACAAGAGAAGAAGCAAGTCATGGCACCCGAGATAAATAACCGAGCAGTAATTGCGTGCGGAGCGATACCATATTTCATACGCGCTATAAGCCATAACTTAGGAGGCAATTACTGTGAGTACGTAATTTATCATCGCGCGCCAGCGGAAGCCGTGACGGCTACGACCGGTGGCAAGGGTGATCGTGGTAGCTGACTGGCTTACTACACTGCCTGACATACCCACCACTTTATACTTTGCACTCATGTGGTGTGTACTCTTCGATATAAAGAGAAATAATACATTATGCATCTGAGAAAGTTTTTCTAACGTCTTCGTTTTTGGTTTAATAATTTTGTTATTTTTGAACTTTCGTGGCTGTACTTATCGTACGGCTATTAAATTTGAAAGGCTGTAATTGTCCTTAAGGTGTTAAATAATTGCAAAGAAATATGTTTTTGAAATTAACAGCCCTTGTTTTTACGGTATTTAATTTTGTCAGGTTGTGAATATATTTTTTCGAAAAATAAAAAAGAGTATAAATACTGTAATTATAATTAATAATTATTTGCTAAGAAAGAAAATTATTTATGTAATTATTCCTGAAATGATCAAGTAATATATATTCTTAAGAAGCTTCAAAAACTTTTTTTCCATCATCAAAATATTTTTTTCAAGTTTTATGTTTAAAGTCATTTTCATTAGTCTCAAGATAAATTTTAATTACAAAAATCTTATTAAACTTTGATTATATCAAGTATTTATCAAAGTGACTGAAAAATGCTCACTGAAACTGTACATGAAATTGACATCCATTATTTTTGATAAATTATTATTCATGTTTATGAAAAGAAATCGTTTGGAATGAAATAGTTAATAAACCGTTATCATCAGTCATTTTTTTCTCTCATAAGTTTAACATTTTTTTCAGAAAATAGATTTTTAAATACATTTTGTTACTTTTATTTCCTTCATGATAACAATAAGTACACATAAAATTTTTTGTGATAAAAACAGCTCGATGTAAAAGCTTATATTCCTACACAAGCTTTCGCCTTGAGGATTAATTGACCAAAACCTTACAAAATCCGTTAACAAAAGGAATCCCAGTTACTCAGTACGTCGCAATGTACACATACAATAGTATTTTGTGTTAATATTACTATTATGTATATAAGTAGTTAAGCTTATGGCTTAAATATGCAGAGAGAAAGATGCGAGAAACTGAAAGGGTGTGAGATGCTGCAAAGTTTAGTGGTATTATTTTAGGGCTCTCTCGTGGCCAAGCAAAGATAATGCGATTTGAATTATATATACCTGAAGGAAATGTGCTTATTCGATTTGTGTAAATATCAGAATGCACAATTATTATTTTTATGAAGGGAAAATTATTTATTTTTATCCAACACTAGAATTATTTTATTCAAAATAAAATAAATAAAAATATTGCAACCAGAAAATTTTAGATCATGAGCACTAAATGATACTATAAGAGTCACAATTTTTGATATTGTTGATAAAAAAAAGCGTCAAATTTCATTCCTTACCTTCACCAAACTATCTTAACGGTGTTTTCTTTATCAGGTATATTCTTTAGGGAATTTTACTGACATACAGTTTGATATTTTATATGATATGTTATATTGATATACTCTCAAGTACTCTGAGTGTAGAGAGTAGAGTCCCAAGGCAAGTATCATTTTACTTTTAGTCGATATATACTACCGCTGTATATACTACTTTATTTGACTTGCTTTTTCGTTGTTCACCTATCGTCAAGCTTGATGTTCTTTTCTCAGCGACATATAGTGCCAGCTTGAAGACATGTGTATTAAAAAAGATATGGGACAATATTACTACAAGGATGCATTGAGTTCCCTAAAGTGCTCATGATGGTGCACTGCTTATCAATTCTTTCCGATGCCTATATATATATATATACGATCTCTTGAGACTTTGTATGGCTTTGGTAACATTTTGAATATATTCTAATAGAAAAAAAATCATTTTATTTAATATTTTTAAAGTGGAGGTAATGTCTAAACTGAATAGTTACTTAAATAATCATATAAAAAATACTTATTTAAAATAAAAATGGAGTACTCGCATTGTTCAGTAAAAGAATTATTTTTAGCAAGAATTTGACTATAAGGTCTTGTTTATAGCTTCTACTATAAAATTATTGATAAGATTTAATAATTAATATATGTCAATATAAACTAGTAGTGACTGATGAAATTTGAATTTAGATCAAAGGAAGTCGTTATATATATAAAGTTAAGAAGAGTGAGGTAACAAAAAGGAAGTGAAAACTGAAAATTGAATCAGCAGTGATAAGAGGATGTAACAGCAAATAGTTATTTCTAAATATTGGTTCGGCCATTGTGTGGGATTTATGTCGTCTGGCCCTAAGCACTTTTCATATTGGCTCTTTGACGAGTGAAGCATAGCATTTCTTCCGTGCAAATTGGCTCTGAGATCTCAAAAGGCTTTGTTTTTTCCTTTCCATTTGCTTTTAGCTCAAGAAAATCTCATCCAACCACAAAACAAATGATCCGTCAAGCATTATTATTCCAATGCCTTGTTTAT